TGTGATTGGCTGATAATAGGAGTGTTGTGATTGGCTGATAACAGGAGTGTTGTGATTGGCTGATAATAGGAGTGTTGTGATTGGCTGATAACAGGAGTGTTGTGATTGGCTGATAACAGGAGTGTTTTGATTGACTGATAATAGGAGTGTTTTGATTGACTGATAATGGGAGCAATATGATTGGCTGATAAATGGAGCATTGTGATTGGCTGATTATAGAATCATTGTGATTGGCTTATAATTGGAGTGTTGTGATTGGCTGATAATAAGAGCAATGTGATTGGCTGATAATAGGAGCAATGTGATTGGCTGATAAATGGAGCGTTGTGATTGCTGATTATAGAAGCATTTTGATATGCTTATAATAGGAGTGTTGTGATTGGCTGATATTAGAAGCATTGTGATTGGCTGATAATAGGAGCATTGTGATTGGCTGATACTAGGAGTGTTGTGATTGGCTAATAATGGGGGCATTGTTAATGGCTGATAATAGGAGCATTGTGACTGGCTAATGATAAGAGTGTTGTAATTGGCTGAAAATAGGAGCATTGTGATTGGCTGAAAATAGAAGCAATGTGATCGGCTGATGATAGGAGCATTGTGATTGGCTGATAATAGGAGTGTTCCGATTGGCTGATAATGAGTGTTGTGATTGACTGATATAGGAGCATTGTGATTGGCAGATAGTAGGAGCGTTGTGATTGGCTGATAAGAGTATAGTTACTGGCTGATAATAGGAGCAATGTGATAGGCTGATAATAGGATTGTTGTGATTGGCTGATAAATGGAGCGTTGTGATTGGCTGATAATACAACCCCTGGCAAAAGTATGGAATCGCCAGTCTTGGATGAGCACTCATTCAGACATTTCATTCTGCAAAACAACTCAGATCAAAAACATGATACAATAATAAGGTCATTCCAAAGTGCAGCTTGTTGGCTTTCAGGAACACTCAAAGAAATGAAGAGAAAACATCGTGGAAGTCAGTGAATGTTACTTTTATTGACCAAGTACAGGGAAAAAATATGGAATCACTCAATTCTGAGGAAAAAGTATGGAATCATGAAAAACAGATAAACAAAAGACCATTCAAAATGCATCACTAGTATTTAGTTGCACCACCTTTGGCTTTTATAACGGCTTGCAGTCTCTGGGACATGGACTTGATGAGTGACAAACAGTATTCTTCATCAAGTTGGTACCAACTCTCTTTCATAGCAGTTGTCAGGTCAGCTTTGCAGGTCGAAGCCTTCTTGTGGACCATTTTTTCCAATTTCCACCACCACAGGTTTTCAATTGGGTTGAGATCTGGACTATTTGCAGGCCATGACATCGATTGAATGCGTTTTTCTCCAAGGAACGTCTTCGCTGTTTTTGCCCTATGGCACGATGCATTGTCATCTTGGAAAATTATTTCATCACCTCCAAACATCTGTTCAATTGAAGGGATGAGAAAACTGTCCAAAATGTCAATGTAAACTTGTGCCTGCACTAGCGCTGACTCTATATTGCCTTGTACAATGAGGTATATTTATATGTGCATATACTTCACTGGCCTTATATGTATTAGCTCAGCGCTAGTTCAACAAACAAACAAGCTAAACTGAGGTCCTCCATCCATATTTTCAGTTACAGGC